ACAGCCGCTGCGGAAGGAGCGCAGGGGGAACGCGGCAGGTAATGGGAGGGAAGGGAGCGGCCGCGGCCACCCGGGGGGATGCCGTCGGTGTCCCGGTGTCCTCAGGTGTCCGAGGACGCGGGGGGTGCTGGCAGTGCCCCGGTCTCCTTAGCCATGGCTGCCCCTGTGCCTGTGTCACCTCAGGTGTGGGTCTCCTGTGGTGTCATGGTTGCTGGTCCTGTGGCAGTGTCACCTCAAGTGCGTGGTCCTTGTGCAATGCAGTGCCCCTGTGGCAGTGTCACCTCAGGTGCCCGGTCCCTGCTGGAGCCAGTGCCCCTGTGGCAGTGTCACCTCAGGTGCGTGGTCCTTGTGGAGCCAAGGCTGCGGCGCCCTGTGGCAGTGTCCGCACACCCGTGTGTACTGGTACCCGCGCTCTTGAAAGCCCGCACTGCTCACTCCCACGAGAAATTAGGGCTGCTTCATGCTACCCCATCACCCAGAGCGTGGCTGGCTCCCGTTCTGGCATGCAGGCAGGCTTGCCCCCAGATCCTCGTGTCCTGCTGGACCCACAGAACCTGTAACTGGTCCCAGTAACAGCCTTGTCCAGTCCGATCTGTCTGCTGAGGTAGTCGAGGGCTGTTTGTTTCAGACCTCATCTGCCAAGTAAGGGAGTGAATAATCAATAGGAGTCCAAAACTGTGTTTGAGAGCAATTATAGACTGGGTGTAGGTTAATTACGGTGCTCAAAGGAACGGAAACGTTTGAGGCAAGCAGCCATGGACCTATGGCAAATTTAGGTTTATGTGTTTCAGAGCGTGCTTCATGGAAATCCAGGGCTATGCTCAGGCTAGCACCACCTCTAGAATGTCAGTGCTGCACCAAATGCGAGAGCTGCTGTCACAGAGCTGAGCTTATTCCAGAAGTCTTCATCTTGCCCATTCCAGCCTGTAACTAGAGCTGCATTCCCCTGTCCTCGTGGTTTGCAATGGGAAAATTACAGAGATTTAAAGGAAAGTGTAGTACTATCCAGTATGCACTACTTGGCTGCATAAATGCATGCATTTAAGAATCTGAATTACTTGATTTTTGGTGTTTTAACAGGTTAAAACGACGATCAGTATTATGGAGGAGGCCTTAGAATTGTTCCAGGAACAAGCTGTCACTAAGTAAGTAATCACTTAGTGTCTTGGGAGTTGAGAATACGATGGAATTGAATTATGTAAGTTTATGAAAAATGCGAAACAAAATATTAATGATTTTAGAAGCAAACTTGATTCCCAATTTCTTTTTATTTCCATGCAAACTGGAGAGGTTACTGATAATTAAGACAAGACATCTTACTGCTTTAGCTAATACTCTACTCACTGTTTCTGCTAGTTACTTTAATTTTTAAAATATTCATACCTGAACAAAAGGGGAGGAAATGAAAACTATGTAGAGTTTTATTAAGATGTTAAGAAATGTTATTTCAAACTGTTTTAAAAAACAGTTGAAGTTGCTAGGCTACAGCAGCATAAACTTACATATCACAGCTCTTAAAACATTAAAGATCTTTAAAAAAAGACTATTAATTGCTAAAGTCCTAGTCTTATTTTGCACAGATAATAATCACAATTGTTCTCCCCTAGTATGAAGTGCACTTTTCATCACAATTCATCTTGGGTTCTATTTTACATAATCCAAGTTTAGTTCTTTTAATGTTAGTCTAAAAAAAATATGTTTGTACAGCATAAAGTCTTTCTAAAGAAGTGAAAACACGAGGGAGATTTGATGTAGGACCTCATCCCATCCAGCTTCTTCAGGGAAAATAGAAATATAGGAAGTACTTCCCCATATTAGAAGTTAAACAGAAAATTTATATATCATAATTTCAAAATAAACTTGTTACCTATTTTTCAAATTAACATATTTATTCTATCATTAATACCAATAAACAGTCCAAGGAAATACGATGTATATTATGTGTAAAAGTATTTCTTAAAATGATAGAAACAGGCATAATCTATCACACTTTATTCTGGCCCAAAAAAGTTTTTAATAGGATTTGAAAGTGGCCTTGTTGTACTAAAGAATAATGAGTGCACTTTTCATGACAGATAAAAATTGCTGTAGTAAAATATTATATTCTGAGCAGTGTGGCTCTTTACTTTGAGTGGCATTCATTTTGTTAGTTATATGATTGGTAAATGTAGTCATATAAAAACCTTAGTTAAAAAAATCAAGAGATTACTACTCTTTGGATACTGTTTTACAAATCAGATTACTACTCTTTGGATACTGTTCTACAATTCAGAAGCCTATTTAAAGAGGTCAGATTCTGCCTTGCCTGTGTTTTAATTGACATATATGAAATTTTAGGCTATTGCAGATGAATCTAGAGTGATATGTCCCATCATAAACCAGAATTCTTGGTAGTTATTTATTTTCCATTAACTATACAAAGAATCTGGAAGAGTATTTTAGGATATATATTCAATGAAAGGAGACATTCATTTCAGCCTGTGCTGACAGTATTCCAGAGATAACACAGAAGCTTTAAAATTTGGGAAGATGGCTGAGTAATGGTGGTGGAAATCATGACAATTACATTCCACCTGCAAGGACTCATAAATAACAAATAATCCATCCATGTCCAGATTTGTATGCTGCTGTATGGTTGAAAATTGTTAACTAAATTAGTTTTATTTCTTAAAATGGAACTTTGGGGTAGAAGATTCTAATGGACCATTTGCAACCGATTTACATATTTCCTGTTTTTAAAGCAAGCTTTGTGATAATAAAATGAATTAATATTAGCTCTACAATCTGGGTTAAATGCCAAAAACTAATGAATGCTCTGTGTAAGATGGAAATATTTGTTAACTGCATAGGTTTTGCTTATGTTTGCATAAATATGGCCATACTTATTTTCCTATTTGTGAGAAAACCTGAATAAATAAGGGAAGAAGGTATGAAGTAGAGACAGACAGTTGAGACATTTCTTAAAATGTCAGTTTCTAATTTACAACATTATTCTAAAGTGTATGGACAATAATATTCTTTCTGTATCTACTAGGAAACAGTGAGAAAAATATGGACCTGTGCAGAACTCCAAAGCAAAAGACAGATAAATAGGGCTAGAAAGGTCTAACAAGTGCAAAAGTCACTTGTGATAAAGGCCTGGAGATGGTAAAACTTTTTATCTAGATTTTGGTTTGTCTAAAGTTGGAAACATTTAGTTTTACATGAGGATAAATAGTGATTAATGACAGCAGAATATGAATCATATCTATTTTCACCTATATGGAAACAGAATAAAAGAAGATTAAGAACTTGCCTGCATCACTTTAAAAAGAGTTACCTTAAAGTGTTTTGAGCTGTTTCAAAGTAAATGAATCCAAAAAACAAATTAAAAAAAAAAGCTGCCATTTGCTTAAGTACAAGTCATTACTTCCCTGGATGATGAATCCATTTGGTGTATGCTTTCTACAAAGTGGGAATGCCATATGCATATGGGTAAAAAAACCCATGCATACTTCTTTGCTTAATGAGAAAATTCATCCTCTGTGTGTTTGTTTACCTGATGGCATATTAAACAAAAGAAACCACTGCATTCCACATCCAGTGATAAAATAAATTCTCATGATTGTGATACAACATGGCATTGATTGGCCATATTTTGAAGGGGCTAGTTAGCATTCTTTTCAAAACACTCAGTGGACTAAAATATTAGTTACAGCAGCAAGTAGTACCTCTATGCTAGTAGGTGGGGATAACTGCAGGACTGTTTGCAATACCAGTGCCACGATACAGAGTAGTTTTAGTAGCGGAACAGAAGCAGTAATCTGCAACTTCTTCACATACAGTTTTCCTTTTCAACTGCAAGTGTACTTAGAAGATCCATGTAAGGAGTTAGAGAAAGTGAAGATAGACAGAGAAACTGTTTCAGAAGGGATTTTTCTTTCAACATCTCCCTTTTATATATCGGTGGGTCTAAGTTCAAGACGCATGCAAGCACCATTGAGAGAAAATTTTCTAGCAAAGGCTGCTGAATTTGCCTTCTATGGGATGATCTGAAAGGGAGAGGTGAAATTCAAAAGGGAAAGGTGTCAGCCAGGATCTGAAAGGGTAATCTAGGATTATCTAGGATAATCATAAGGATGATCTAGGCTAGAAGTTGCTTTTGCACTTGTATAATAATATTTAGATGATCCATGTGATGCACAATAGAGAAAGTACCTATTTCTGAGGCCTGAAATAAGATGTCTGAGTCATTGCTGATGGTTCACCAATGTGTTGCCATGTGACATTACATGAGTCTGGATGGGCACAGGTCCTTATAACAGTATCAAAGAAGAGGCAGTCCTGATGCAGTATGGCTTTGTTTTCTGTTTTCAAAATCTTGGTTTAAATTCCACCCAGAGGGGATCAAAGTTTACTGCATCATTAATGCTATGAGTTTCAGGCACTTGGAAGGGGGGTAGTTTTATTTAGAAACATGAACATCACAGTGTACTACTTGCTTGCACTTTGTTTATTATCATCCTATGTTTCATATTAAATTTCAAAATGACATTATGGCATTACTAACAGTTTTAACATTAATGCCTTTTGGCATTAAGATTTATGTCTGTATTTAAAAAGCCTTTCCAAGTTTAACATTGATGATGTTATAGTTTCAAGGATTTGTTGATGTAAAAGAAGTTTTAGAAAATTTGACTTTAAAAATCACGTAGGCTTTTAATTATGACATTACAAATATAACACATTTGCTCCAAATTCCTCTAATAATTATCAAAGCAAGGGATATGCACAATTTAGGCACCAGATAACAGACCTTTGATAAACACATGTCCATACTAAGGAGCTGTTTTTTCAGTTTAGTGCAGTCAAAACTTCAGCATGCAAGTAAACTTAAGACGGATGAAGTTAGGTTCCACCTACATTTGAAGGCATCATTTACCTTTCCCTTTTCTTTCCGATGTTGAAAAGTGGTTAATCCCATCAGAATTAAAATAAAGTCTTAGCAATGTAAAGAAAAATTTGTTTTCTCTCTTGAAAAAATAAATCTCTATGTTTTTAGACTTTCTCCATGTGAAGCTGAACTTCAGGAATTAGTGCATCAAATTGACGTCATGGTAAGCAGAAAACAAGTGGAATGGGAAAGAAAGATGAGAGCTTTAGAAGCAAAGATGGATATCCAGGATCAAGAATTAGCAAGTGCCCAAAGCAAACTGGATCAAAAAGGTCAAGAGGTATTTAAGAATATCACATTCTATAAAGGAAGTATTTATTCTGGTACTTACTTATTAGTATGCTTTAAATTCTCTATAAGGAGACCCGTTTGTTCTATTATGTAAAAATGCCAAAAACCCTTTAAAGGTCACTAATTATCCTTAGTGTTTTGTTTTAAAGTGTGTTTCTGTTCTGAAAAGTGATTGTAAAAATGTCATTGAAAATCTCATATTTCTTCTGTTTCCCTAAAGTCTAAATCAAATATCCTCAGTTTAACTATAAAAAAGATAATTTTATGGGTCTTTTCTAAGTGCCAACACATCTTGTTTCATTAGAAATTTTAGATGGAAGTATACAGTTCAAAAAGGTTCACAAAATTATGTCTTTCTAGCTCCTTTTTATACTAATTTTCATCATTTTACATGATATACTGTCTTTGTATGATAATTTTATTCATCATGAAGATTCAAATTGTATTATTACTACTTTGACTTTCTTATGAAACTGAAAGCCCCCTGTACCTGGCGTTGTCTGTACTTCCCAGTCTTGTCTGCTGAATATTCACTCAGAAGCATCAAGAAGTCCTTGCACAGCATTCAGTTCTAGTCCAAGGCAGCTGAATTTAGGTGTCTACACAAGGGCATTGCTGTGTGAGCTAGGTGTCTAAACTGCCAGTGGCAGTTCTGAAAATGGAGCAACTCTCCCTAATGAGCAATTAGGAACTTGTCCTTAGCCATCGCGGTCAAAGGAGTCAAGAGAATAATTCAGGTAGCCACTCCTCAAAGGCTCAATTTATTTGCCTATACAGAGACATCTGAAATACTTTAGCATATTCTGCCTAGCTTCCAGCTGTCCCTCCAGAAAAGCATAAGTGTCATGTATGCACTGGGTCATATTTCTCAGATCTCTGTGAAACTCGGTAATAATTCAAGTTATCTCAAATGACACTGTACTTAGGGAGCTGAAATGAGTCTACAGTGTCTTCCAATAATTTGTACATAAGTAGTGGAAAGTCTTTTCTATGATTTATTAGCCATTCACAGAAATTTTTCACAATGGGGCACAGCAGTTTGTTCACATAGCTGGGTCAGAAAAGCTTTCAGAAATTATCTTTTATGACAGCCTTGTACAATATTATCATTAAATCATAATGTAAACATACACTGAGATTTTTTACTATGAAATCCTGAATTTGATGTTGATACCACAACCTGGGTTTCTGGTATCCAGTTTTATTATTAAGTTACTGCATTAAAATATATATTTTTAATATCTCTCCCTTAAGCAATGGTCTTCTTTCAAAGTTTAAAATTACTTTTCTGAAAATGACCTACTTTGAAATACTTCAGAAAAGGTACATTTGAGTGCTTATTCTAACTGTAGGTGGGACTACTTCAACAAAAATTGGATGACTTACAGAAAACTAAATATGAAATGGCTCAGAGCTATGAAACTCAGCTTCAAGCACTGAAATCTCAAGTAAGAAAAATGTCAATTTCATTATTTTGTGATTGTATTATAAAAAGCTTATACATGCCAAATGGTATGGATGTAGTATTATGGATTTGGGAAAGATGAATCCTGTCGTACAAATGATGATGACTACAGCTTCCTCCCAGGCTCCATTATAATTTCTGTACTGTCATGTCCAAACTCGTTGGATGGATTTTGATGTGATTGTGACGTCTGTTATGAAAACAGATACGAGATTTCCTGACTTCAGACTAACAAAACCTGAAAATGAATAAAATAGATACTTAGATTCATGTTATTAAGACTCTGATGCACATTAGGAATTTTAAGATTTAAACTGTTCTTATGTTTTTGCTGTACATTTTTCTGCTTTTAAGGGACTATTAAAGTGGTCTGACAGCTTTCCTTAATGTATAGGTTTCCATAGTATCAAAATGGGAGTAAGCTAGATTAATGATACTGGGAATTTGTTTGAGCTTTATTTATTTCAGAGTGTGCTTACAGCCCAGAAAGGCAGTTGTATCCTGGGCTGCATAAAAAGAAATGTAGCCCACAGGTGGAGGGAGGTGATTCTCACCTTCCACTCGGCTCTGGTGAGACCCCATGTGGAGTGCTGCATCCAGCTCTGCGGCAGCTGGTACAGGAAAAACACGGATCTGTTGGAGCGAGTCAAGAGGAGGCAACAAAGATGAACAGAGGTCTGGAGCACCTCTCCGGTGAAGACAGGCTTTGAGAGCTGGAGAAGAAAAGGCTCCAGGGAGAGCTTAGTGCAGCCTTTCAGTAGTTAGAGGGGGCTTATTAGAAAGATGAGGACAGACTTCCTATCAGGGCCTGTAGTACCAGGAGAAGAGACAAGGGTTTTAAACTGAAAGCTGAGGAACAATTTGGGCTTTTTTGAATGAGCGTGGTGAAACACTGGAACAGATTGCCCAGAGAAGTTGTGGATGCCCCATTCCAAGGCCAGGTTGGGTGGAGCTTTGACCAACCTGGTCTAGTGAAAGGTCTCCCTGTTCATGGCAGGGGGTTGGTCTAGATGACCTTTTAAAGGTCCTTGTCAACCCAAATCATTCTGTAATTTTATGATTCTGTTTGGCTGTGTTTGCTCTGCCACCTGCATTTTTGTTTCTTCACTATTTTCTACTTCAATCATAAATCAATATTTTTTGTGAAACTTCAGTTGATTCTATTTCTCACATTCGAAGAAGTTAACATACACAATTCTGTATTGTTCTTCCTGCCATTTTTCTATTCCCTTCACTGGATTCTCCTACCAGAGACTTGGTGTTGTAATTTCCAGTCATCACACTTACTATATAATCATCTTAGATTGCATAAATTGGCTATCATTATTTTCATTTAGAAGTGATAACACCACCTGAATACATCAAACAAATAAATGTATTACTTATTTTTAATGTTATGTTGTCTTTAATTTATATTTCTTTTATATATGAAAATTGATTGGGCAAACAGTTCTGTAAGTAAGCAGCGAATGCTTTGGTTGTTTTGTAATTAACACTTCTAATCATTTGGGAAAGTGGGTAGAAATAAAAGCTGTTTTATAATTTACACAAATTATGTAAAAAGAAGTATTTTAGCATGATTATTGAGAAGATAAACATCACACAGTGAAAAACAGTGTGGTGTGACTTTTTACGTATAAGATGTAAGCTACCTTTAGCAATGCAGAACTATGCCCCAAAATATAGTATATCTCTCTCTTGTCCTATTCTTTTTCACATTTGCTGCAGTATTTTTCACTTTTTAATTTAATTTTTTAATCATGTGCTAAAAATGATTGGGTTTATGTTACATGTTATTGCTAAGATCTTCAATGAAATTGAACTTTCTGCAATTGAAACTCCAGGCCATTTTTCGTACAGATTTTTATTTTGAAGCTGTCAATTACCCTACAGGTCCTTTCCATGGGCAAATACAACATGTTTTCTCTTTTTTTGTTTTTTGTTTGTTTGTTTGTTTTGTTTTTTGTTTTTTTAAAAAAAGAAGCTGATATTTCCTACCTACAAGCCTTTTTCTTTAAACCTGGTTATATTTTTTGCCCAGCTCCTCCTCTTTAGTTACCACTTAGATCACCTAACCTTTCTTTGAGTTTCTTGATTGCTTCTTCTATTATCTTTATTCAAGAAGTTTAAGATTTCTAGCTCTTTAGAATATATATCATTTTCCCAGTCCATGTCTCCAAACATTTCCTTCTCTCTCAGTCATCCTGCTTATTTTGACCAAGGTTTCAGCACTGATACTCTTTCCATTTTATTTTCTGATCCTCATTCTTTTCCTTTCACCAAACCATATTTCTTCATGAAGTGCCCATCTGGTACACACTGACTGAAGAAGCAAACTGTTGAATGCCTATGTTAGGAGATCTGCCTGGATTCTCTGTGATTAACAGAAGTCTGCCTATCAGAACAATTCCAAGCACCTGTGCTAGACAGGACCATCCCACTCTGCATCTCTAGCTTTTACCAGTCTCCTTATTAAGTTTCTTTCCTGAATTACAGTGCTGCAGTGTCTACAACAAAATTACTTTAATGTTCCCAAATTTTCAGCTACACAAACTCATATCTAAAATATAGAGCTTCCTTGACAATATTAATCTTTGCCTTATCTCCTTTGACTCCCTTCTCTTTTGATTCCTATCATCACTTGGAAGTTATACCCCCTTCTAAACTGTATAATCTTAAGAGCTACACTTTAGTTTTGCACAAATGGTATGTTGCTATTTACCAATAGCATCGTAGCTTTCTCTGCAGATGTATTCTTAAAATCACTCCCAAGATTTGTTACTCCCTAATCTCACCAGAAATAGAAAGGATCACTTTTTCTAGTTATCAGAATGCTAAGCTATTCCAAACAAATTTCTCTTCTGTGGTTCTCTGTGCTTTTTTTCCTTGGTACTGCTAAAAGCAGCTGTTTAATGAGCAGTAGTCCCACTGAATTGACTGTATGCCTGTTGAATGCAGTAAAACATATGTTTTTCCTGTATTAGGGAAATAATACCTGGTGTGTAACCTGAAACTCCTAGGCCACACTGCTGCACTCATTCAAATGTACAACATTTTGTCATAATTAAATAGCAAAACTTTAGAGGTTCATCTTCATTACTTGCTCCTTCCTTTTTTTTTTTTTTAATTAATGTCCCATAGTTATTCTCATTTTGAAAGTGACAGAAATCTCTCAGCAAAAGAACAAGAATCTATTCTTGCTCCAAGCACTTGGCAACTAATTGCTTTGCTTAGACATTTAAAAGCTAGATGGCTACATCTGAACTACCTCAGGTTCCCTTTAGAATCAACGGAGAGAAATGGACACCCCTAGAATACAACTCATGTCAGTGTATGACAAGAATTTAAGATAGCTGAAATGACTAAGCATTTGCAGGCAGCTTTTTCTAATGCAGAATAGCTCAGGCTTGTATGTCTAACTTTCAGAAATCTGAACTTAAATTGATTCTACCCCAGAACTCATTAAAGTGCTTCATATTTTGGTCTTTTGTTTGGGTTTTTTTTCCTCCAACATGTATAACATGCAAAGAGAACAACTTGGACATTTTAAAGTGAATATCTAGCATTAAATGGAATGATTTTTGGCTTTTAGTCTAGTTTCCAGTAATGATAACATCCAGACTCTAATCTGTCTGTAATATCCTACTGTCATTAAATACTCAGACTGAATCTTCTGATTTTGGTCATTCTGTTCCATTTTAGACTGATGTCCTGAATTGTTGGATCCTGTATTTCCTAGTCTTTTTAGCATGGACGTTCTAATAGCTGTCTTATCTGAGTTTGCTCTTCCCAGGCAGTTCACATATGCCATAATATATTCAAAAGCAAAACTGTTATTTGAAAAAGGTATCTTTCTTCCAAGGGCAATGAGTTCCATGTTGTTTGAGCCTGTATACTCTTGACTCATTTTAAATATTTCATCTTAACTGTGTTCTCTGGCAAGGTCAGTTTCAAATAGAGGCAGATACTCTGCAAGACTTTTGATTCGGTTTTAAAGGTGGTATCTCAGCTCTGTAAATCTGTGTTACGGAACTGCTATTCAGACATTCCAAGCTGGTCAGATCTATCCCCAGGCCTCCCCATTTCATGAAACTTTCTATTCCAGGACAACCTATCTTCTTGTCATCTTTTCAATTAGTTTTTGCTGTTCCTAACTTCATCTCAAATGTCTCTAGGAAGTTTCCAGACGATTTTCTAAGTTCAGTTTCTATATCTTTTCTAGACTGCTTTGGTCATCTTTGTTATCTGCACAAACCTCAATTGTTCACTTCATGTTGATTCAATAGGATTCCATTCCATTTCCAATTACTTCCTTGGAAGTAATTTCTTTTCCAAACAGTAGTTTACTTTGAGCAGTTAACAAAAATATGAGATTTTATGTTTTTTGTTTGGTTGTACAAAAAAACTTTATGTTAGAGTCAGAATTTTTAAAGTCATATATAGCTGAGTTTAAAGGAACTTAACAACAAGAGACAAGTTCAGTAGTTATAGTTACAAGGTTCTTTTCTACTCAACATTCTTCACAAAGCTCTTTTGCTCAGCTTTTCTTAAGACCATATTTTTAGTGTTTACTTTGTCAATATCCTTGAGTTTGTTTGGTTTGTTTTTTCCTACATAAACATATTCCTACCAGACAACATCAGTTTTCTGTATCAAACCTGTTACCGCCACTAGAGAGACACTTTGCTTGTGCAGTAGAATGAACTGTTGATCAGACCAGCTGTTTTTCTGAAGAGGCTGGTGGCACTTCCTTGGTGCCTTCCCTTCTTTGCCTCTACCTCCTTTCCTCTGAGTCCTAAGCTGGGTTTTCATGGTAAGATCAATAGTCAGTGTCCTTTGTCTATTTAGTATCTAATTCTGTGACACACACTGGTAATTAACGATTCCAGCAGGGTGCAATCATCACACAGGTAACATTTCCACAGTTTTCATTATAAGAAAGAAACATGCAAGTTTAAAGTACATTAATGATAATCTGTCATTCTTACTGGTGGGGCATCCTTTAAAAATGTCAACACAAGATGGCAGTAAACAAGTACCGAACATTCCATATAAACATAGTAAAGGAAGTGCCTCTATGGGTAACAGCTATGAAGACTTCAGCAGGGTTAAGCAGCTATCAAATGAACCCATTAAAACAGTTAGTTAATATTTATGTGAGAGCTTAGTCTTGTTCATCTATAATAGATTAACTTTATTAATTGATTTTTTGTTACATTGATTAAACATTCCGAATGCTGAAGCTGCAGTTGGTGTTTCTAGTTTAAAGAAAACTTTTGCCATGTGGTCACCTTTGATAGATTTTGCATGTTCAACTGTGCTTTTGTTTTTAGTTTTCAAAGTTGACACATAGTTATGAAAAGCTACAATCACATCAGTTTAAACAAAAAAAGGGTAACAGTAGAGAAAAATGTGAGGAAAGCCTAGTGACATCATCTAACCCAAGAAATTTATACAAGAAACTGGAGGTAAGAATACTTTGTTATTATATTCTAATTTTAATACACCTTTAGAACTAATCTGTGATTTATAGTTGTAAGCTTTAATTTTCTCTTAATTTTACAACAATTATATGATTTTCTTTCTCTGGCAAGAAAGATGCATAATTTAATATTAATATTATTTTTTTCTAAGTGTAACGATAAATAAATGTTCCTATTTTCCTGATTAGTATATGTGTACTGAATTATATGATCTCTTGAGGCATCAGACCTTTTACCTATGAGGGTACTGTCACATAATACCTACCATTCATTCAAGTTTTGTAAACCTCAGGACAACCTTGACCATGTTGGGTTACACAGAAAAAAAGGATTTAGGGTTGGAAAACTGCTTGTTGCACATATATCTTGACAGCACCCATGTAGCTGAGACAATCCACAACCCTGACCTCAGTGCCTGGTTTCCCTAGGTAATGCCTGAGGAAAGATTAGGCACTTAAAAATACATTCCACAGAATCCAGCATACTGATTGGGGGACTAGATAATAGATGCTGAGGACAGGATCCAGTCACATTTCCTATCCCTTTGGACACAGAATGGATTGTAGTGGACTTGTTCTTGGATACAGGACAATACTGATTTCTGATCACAATTCCAAGCCTTAACTTTTCAGAGTTGGAGTTTAATCCAATAAATTTGCTGGTATTCTGTACAAAGTGAAGCAACTTCAAAAGGAAGAATCCCCGAGCTTGTTAAAAAATAAGATGTGTTTGTTGGGTAGAAAACGAACATGGGAAGATTCTTCTTCAGATCCTGTCTGGAAGGATTATGAAACAGTCTTCTGTATATGGGAAGAACAGTCTAATCTGTAATCTGATGAAGCATAGGAAGATCACAAAAAAAATTGTATTTTCTCTGGCCATCCTTTGTAAAGAGCATAATAAAGTAGTTTGTGCTTAGACTGCTTACTAAACTGGGTCCTGTAGGCAAAGCAAGCAGAGGAATATCAATTGAAAGTGAGAGCTAGTTGCCTAGCTGCTAAGCACTGGGAAGACTTACATGTTTATGATGTAGATTTATGATGCAGATGATGTGGACACTGAGAATTTACGATCAAAAAATTAAGCTCTAGTAGATTTTAAGTACTTTCGTACTTTAACTGTGATTAAGCGAGGTTTTAGAGTTTATTTTGGACCTGTCTGTCTTTTATGTTCTTCTATAAGTCACGGGATTAACTTCTGCAACCTTCAGGTGACTGTACCTGCATAGATATCCTAGACACATCGTATTGCTACGTGATGTTGCTGTCTCTTCCACCTGGAAGTTCTTACCATCAGAAAAGCTACTACACTTTGGACTGCAGCATAGCTGCCAACAGCTGCTACTACAAGAATAATAAATGGGCTATACATCTATCATTGACTAAATATATCACTGCTGTAAAACTGTCTGATCCAGCTAATTTGAGAATAACCTTATTCAAGACTAAAATTTGAAAATAATGTAAGACAATGCTGTAATTTTATTAATTATGCAGTATGAAAAATGAGTGCTTGGAATATATTTAGCAAATGCTAGTATTCAGGAAATAATTACTGTGTTGAAAATCTACTAAGCTCAGCAGTAAGGCTTTGAACCTGCAGTCCTCATTAAGTAGTCTGAAACTCCATTTGTATCATGTTTTATAAAATAGGAAGATATTTGTTTTAAATGCCAAAGTAGATAGTAGGAAAGCTATAAAAGAAGGCTTGTATTAATCTATGTTGAAAAGCATTCAATTTTGTTTCCGTAGGAAAAAAACTTTTTTTTAAATTTGGGGAATATGCCAGTTTAAGTTAATTATAAAACATCATCTGTCTTTTTAGAAGAACATTTCCATTGTGAAAAAGGACATTCTCATAACAGTTTAGTAGTTTCCATTGTATAAAGGATTATACTGTTATTTTGCTAACTTTTCAAACTAAAAGAGCAACAGCTCTAGTAATGGGAGTTCTCTGCTTATTTTGTAGGGTATTGCCTTTAAAGTCTATTTGTGAACATATAAGACCTGGTATGATCTAAAAGCAAATTCAAATACACTATAAATATGAATGCAAGCTCAAATACAAAATCAATATTAGATAAATTTGATGTAATACAATTAAAGAGGTTTTTTGTTTAAACTAGGTGAACTCAGAACCCAAAGCAGCCATTGTAAAGAGGGCAAAAAGTAAAATTTATTCAAGGTAGCTGCTGATCCATCTGTTGTAGAAAAAAAAGAAGGCAAAAAGCAAGCACTCAAAACGTGTCTGAATATTAAGGGTTTGATTCCCTGTTGATTACTCTGCTTGACATTGATATGTCTTTAAAGTCACAGGAACTACCATCCAATAAAATGAATATATTATGGTAGTAGTCTAATATCTACAGCAATTATTTAAAACATTTTATATATTATATAGGTTTTATAGTTTTATAATATATTTTATAATTTTTATTCAGGGATTATGTTTATCATCCATTTTTTGTCAGATTACTATCCCTTAAGACTGGATTTTTTCCTGATGGGCATGACTGGATGACTGGTTTATATAATTGTTCTTTTTTTCTTCTTTCCAAAATTATGGAAATATTATGTATTAATTAAATTTTTTTTTTAATCTATACAAATTGCAAAAATATTTTGATTTGGGAAAAGAGATATTTTCCCTATGTTTTCTAGTCTTGTTTTTCTGTCTTTCAGGAATTTAAATCAAGAGAAGGGGATAAGAATGGGACAATCTGCCAAAATTATCCTGTTTATTTGGATGCTCAACAAAAATTATTACCCGAAAAATATAATTTGTTTCAGGTAAAAGTCCTACCTTCCTTCTCTAAGAAGAAAATGAACTGTTTGCTCAGCTAGAGCTTATTTTAACTTAATTTTTAAAAATTTTAAAATTTTAAGAAATTTTTAAAAATTACTGTGAATTTGATAATGCATGTCTATATTGGTAGTGAATATATTGCATTGGTAAGGCAGGCCTATACTGGAAGACCTAGTGATACATACAGTTATTTTACTTCAATTTTTCTCATGAAAATGAGAAAATGAGAAAGTATCATGATATTACAACATTTCTAAAAAACAAAACAAAACAAAACACCTGCAAAAACCAGTGAATATTCCTTTTTACTTTTTAAGTATATTGTGCAGATACTTTTATTTTCTGTGCAGTTTACTGATATGCAATTAATTATGACAAGTTATTTAGAAAGTTTAAGAAGTTTCTTACCAAGTAGTATGTGCCATTACTATGACTCAAATATAAAATTCCTTCAAGTCTGTTGGCCTTCATTTTTTTGAAGGTCATAAATATATACTAATACTGTTTATGCAGAAAAATGAATTTTCATATGCTACTCCAGAATCATATTTTTCAGCTTTCTAGTTATGATTCAGTCTTTGGTTGACTTTGTGATTCTTTTTTACTTGCCAATTTGCTTATTACTTTTTTTATATCATGGCTAGGCTTTGCCTAGATATAGCCTATTGATCCAGCATATTTTAATTTTTTTAATTCCTTCCAATCCAGAAAAAAATGTTGATTTAATGATGTCTTGATGACCTACCCTGCAATAAAAAAAAAAAAAAGTCACAAATTGCCTGGTCCACCTTGAAAATTAAGTAAGGGGAAGCTTTTCCACTGTTATTAAGCTCATTTAATCTAGTGAAGATTTCTCTTAACAATTCGCATTAGACTCTACTCACATCCAGAGTTTCCAAGAATGGCAGTTAAGTTTTGGTTTTAGCTGCTGAGAGAATTATATTCCAACTATTCAATTTCCATACAAATGTGTTAAAACCCCAAAACAAAGATATTGACTGATACATACTGATTATGTAGTTAGACAAGTCAAAATAGAGTACCTGGTGTGATCATTTGCATTTTTTCTGTTGAGGTTTTCATTGCCAAGAGTCACCTTTCTTTGAGGACAATTTTCTTCACAACTGTAACAGAACACCAACTATTTTTTAAATAGAAGTCTGATGGATAGTTAGCCCTTAACTGTTTCAAAAGTTTTTATTGTTCCTGTGTCTTTGGCTCAAGTTGCTCTTTTGTGAGGTCTTTGCCAGTTGGAGTCTTGCATTATATTTTTCACAGGATGAATTGACACTTTGGTATGTCAGACTCCATAACTTAGATGTCAGAGACCTTAATTTGTTATCTATAGGAATGAAACTTACCTGGAAATTTCTTTTGGCTTTTTATTTGATATGCAGCCAATGGTCCATTCTGCTTAGGTTCTCAGCCAACACAAATTACAGGAACATAGTCAATAACGTCAAAAGCTGTCTAAAGCATGACTTCTTGCAGTCCTTGTCAGTGAAATATGGTATTTGTAATCCTAATTATTTTTACTATATATTTTCTTGCTCAGCTTGGTGTCTGCACATGATATATGATTTTCAGGTTATTTTTTGTTGTCATTTTTCAACTAATTCTCAGTCTTCTGAAAGGTTAGTACTGCTTTTTAATATCCCAGTAGAGGGGTCCATGTGGATAGTTTTTTAAACAGCAAAAATGGTTACCATAGTAATTATGCTTCTTCACAATGCCTGTGAATTCAGAAATACTGGCAAAACCATTTTTCTGAAGTTTTGGTTTTAGGAGTTTGATTAGTACAAGAAACTGAATGAAGTGTAAGACTACAGAATGTGCAAATGATTCATCCCCAGGTTTAAGGATAACAATCTCAAAAAAGTACAGTTCCTGGAGTAACTGAGGTGTTTATACATGAACTATGTAATGCTAGCACCCTAGTCAAAGGTTTATATCTATCCTGAGGTGCACACACACAACTCCTACTGAGTTCAATGAATCAAAGAGGAACATTTCTCTCAAATTATTTTTTATAGGCAACTGCTTTGAGTAGGTCATCATAGTCACCTTTTTCACATTTGAGGATCATTAACATTAAGTACTAGGAAAATACACAGCACAGGAGAAAAAATGCTTGGAAAAATTCTATACCCTTGAAGGTTTCTGAAACATTTTTTTACTGAGGGCAAGGAACATGAGACCAAAATAAGGGAAGTATCCATTAGAGAAGTAATTAAAACTGTTCCAATTGTGCCATCTTTCTAAGCAAATCCTGGTGAAGATGTAAATAGCTTTATGATTTCAGTACTAACGGTTTGGTCCCAGCAATTTACATATAATTATTGAATTAATTTAAAATATTCTCTTATTTTATAGAAGCAAACCCAGAATTATCAATTCCAAATACACAATAAGAAACAAAACCGAAGAAGAGGTAATTACCTATGCCCAGCCTGAAAGTGAAAAGGATGATTTGATTATTGAAAAACTAAAGGCAACTGTGAATGAAATAGCAAGGAACAAGAATAAACTCGAAGAGGAAAATCTGAAGCTCCGTGAAGATGTAAAAATGTACCAAAACCAGTGCCAGGTAGTAATAGTTTTTCATGATGACTGTGGAATTAATGCTGGAAAATTAAATACTTAGGACTATACTTTAAAAAGTTGTACTGAGATGCCTATGTAAAAGATCTGTACATTAGGTGTATTCTTTGCAGGGACACAGAATGATCTGTCAACAGTATGTTTGGGGTTTTTTTAGTAAATCAGAAATAGGTTTGATTATTAGTAGCATATTTTTTCTTGTCTGTTTATCTAGGGTTTTATAACTTTCCTATATCCATAGCATCTCCAGGAACGTACCCTAGTTCACTTGGTTCCTTGTATTCCAGTGACTTCTATGAAATCTCTTTATCTGATTTATACCTTGCTGCACACTGTGCCATCTAGCTAGTAAATAAGTATATAGAAAAGTGTACAGTATACTTTGTTATTTTTGAGGGGAGATTTTGCAGTCAATGAATTTTTAAGTTGCTCTCCACGTAAAGAACCATTAGTTTTTATCTTCCCCCTAGTTCACTGTTTTTCAGCATAGCACTGATCTATGAAGACAGCCATTTGTGCCTCTTCTTTTGGTCGTGGTGTATGAGTTCTGACACGATTGAGATAATACAAGATCTTTACAGCCTTTTTTATTAGCTGTGTTTGAAACAGATTGGGAATGAGATTCTCGTTGCTATTGTTTTCCTGGTAGCATATATCATTTATGCTTTTGCTTATTTATTTAAGCACTTCTAGCTTCAGTAATATATATGAATGGCCTCTAGTAACTTCATCTCTTTCTAGAGAAAGATTCATTTCTGCTTACAGACAGCCTTGGAGAGTTATAACAGTATATGCAATAAACCTTATAGGAATTAGTGTATATGTGGCAGAGGTTAATTTCAGGTGTTGTCAGAACAGCCAAGTTTGCACACTAGTTCACTGAGTCTTTTCCCTGAATATACAAGATATCAGTATACAAAGCAAACCTTCTGTTTTGGTGCCTGTTTAAAAGCCTGCCACCAAAAACAGCAGTACTAAAATACAGAGTGGAACAAACCACGGCAATTGGAGCAAGTGGATAGATGCTGTAAGATGGAGAGAGTAGCTGTCATGTGCTGTAGTCTTTAAAAAAATCTTCAAGCAGGAAGAATTTTGGAATCCTGAAGAAAATGCAGGAGATGTAGAAAGCACTCAAAATGTTTTAAGTGGAGCTAGATGTACATAACATTATCACCTAAAGGGCAGAAAGTTGCAGAAAACTGTGTTGGTGGTGTGGAACACTGATATATTAGAAAAGCTGTGTTTGGAAGTAGCTGCAGAAGGTAAACACTGATGTAATGTCAATTTATAGTGAAAAGGGGTAGCTCAGAGGAAATATTTTTTTTAGGAATGTCTATATGAGAAAGAAGGAAGTGTAAGGGCTGCTGTCAGCCAGAAACAGTAAGCAGGTTTGCATGAAGGAGAGTTAGGTGGAGCCTGGGAATAGTTGAACATGATATAGGTAAAGGAGGAAACAGTAGATGGGAATCTTGGTGTGAAGAACTCTGATGGCAATGAAAGCAAGACTTGTATTGTGCCTCATATACCCTCTGTGCCTATGACCGTCTCATGTGTGCTTCTAAATACTTCTTTCATGCTATTAATTAGCAAGTGATAAAGTGAAACGTATGGAAGACCAGTTCATTGGTTGTACAGAAAATACAAAGTTTGGAAGATCCAAATGGACACTGCAGTCTGTTTCTCTACCTTATGAATTATCTGACAAACTTATCTGCAGACATACACGGGAGGGAGCCTGGAAACATCACACAGGGGGCTTGGTTCTTGAAAAGTCTTCATTAAACTGATAAAAAGTAATTTACATAGAAACACATCATATAACTGTATCTAAAATGCTGAACAGTGGGCTGGCGTTGGGCAGGGTTTGGTAGTTGGGGTGCTCCAGGGATGGCCTTTGTGAGAAGCTTCTAGAAGCTTTACATGTGTCTGCCAGAACCAGTGCCAGCTGCCTCCAAGATGGACCCACCACTGGGCAAGGCCATGCCCATCAGTGACAAACACCTTGGGGATAACATATTTAAGGAGGGAAGAAAAGAGCCCTGTGCAACTGCAGTCAGGAGCAAGGAGGGAGAATATATGAGAGAAAAAGCCCTGCAGACCCACGGTCAGTGCAGAAGGAGAGGGAGGAGGTGCCCCAGGTGCCAGAGCAGAGATTCCCCTGCAGCCCATGGTGCAGGCCAAGGTGAGGCAGCTGTGCCCCTGCAGCCCAGGGAGGCTCATGGTGGAGCAGAGATCCATCTGCAGCCCCTGGGGGACCCCACGCCAGAGTAGGTAGATATCCAAAGCAGGCTGTGGCACCATAGGAAACCTGTGCTGGAGCAAGCTCCTGGCAGGATGTTGTGACCCCTCGGAGAGTGGAGTCCACACTGGAGCGGGCTTTCTGGCAGCCCTTGTAACCCCACAGTGGGGAACTCACTCTGGAGCAGCCTGTTCCTGAAGAACTGCACCTCACGGAAGGGACCCACATCGGAGCAGTTCGAGAAGAACCGCAGCCCATGGGAAGGACTCACACTGGAAAAGTTTGTGGAGGGCTGTCTCCTGTGGGAGGGATCCCACACTGGAGTGGAGGAAGAGTGTAAAGAGTCCTCCCCATGAGGAGGTTTAGTTTTTATTTCTTATTATCCTGCTCTGATTTGATTGTCAGTAAATTAATTTCCCCAGGTTGAGTCTGTTCTGCCTGTGGCGGTAACTGCTGAGTGATCTCTCCCTGCCCTTATCTTGCTTGACCCACAAGCCTTTCTCTCATGTTTCTCCCCTGTCCAACTGGGCAGGGCAGTGATAGAGGGGCTGTGTGGGCACCTGACATCCAGTCAGGCTCAACCCACCACAAAACAGCATCGAGGAGAACTAGAGCTGAGCAGGAAATTTTTGAGGCTTCATTTTGGTATCAAGCACACCAAGCTTGATTGACCAAGCTAGTCAATGCCAAACTTTTCGCAGAAGAAAAGAGAAGGTTTGGTAAATTTTTCAACTTGAAACAGACTCTTCATTAGCTGTATTTTATTTGATATTCTCTAAACAAAATCTAAAGCTTTCTGATTCAAAATTAATTTTCGTTTTGGTGTTTTAACCAGATGGAATAAATATTTCCTAAAATAATAAGTGGCACATATATGTATATATATATTTAAGTGATATGTGAAAGGGTGAAACTCTTGACCTGAAGGACTGTTTCAATTATTATTGCAGCTGCTCCTGTGACTGCTGTTCTTCCTGCTACTATTATAATTCACAGAAGAAAATACAATTTATGTAAATATGTATGATGACTACAGTCCGCCACAGACAGTATGACTTCTGACACACAGTTGTGCAAAATTAATTTTCCTTATCCAGAATGAAATCAGAGGGGTAACCGTCTCCCAGGTTCATATATTATAAAATAATTGTGGCTATTTCTTGAATGTTGAAGTCATGAAGATGATAATAAGCAAGTCTTGCAGACAATTTTAACAGTTCATTAAGCTTTATTTCACCTGAATATGCCCAAACTTGCATTTCAGTGTTTAAAAAAGCTCTCTTGGCCTTAGTGTAACAAAGGATAAGATGAATTAATCCATATACGCAGCCCTTAAAAAAAACCCCACAATGTAAAAGCACTTCATATCTGTCTTCAGCAACCCTTTCAGCCAGAAGAAAACCACAGGCGTCTTGGAAGGAAGGTCATTCTCATATGAGGCTCTAAGGGAAATAAACCTTTGAAGTTCTTGCTTGCACTCATTTCTGGATTCCAGTTGTCTTTTGAAACTTTAAAGGCTTTATTTTTGCTTGTAAAGATGGAAATTATGTACAAATAAAATTAAGAAATTATGAGAAATACTAATGTTTCCAGTACAATGGTTTTAAAAGTAAAGGATCAACATAATCCTTTTTTTTTTTTTAACCTGGAACATTCTTTTCAATCTTAGGTGACAAGAAATAAATATTCTCTGGATATTATTATTGCAAGAACTGACTATTATTGCTACTTTTGTTATTAGTGGATTATACTTCCAAGTCCTTATCTTTAGTATGGTTTCAGTATATTTTTGTGGAATTCTAATTTTTTTAAAAATCATATTTCATTATGCCAAATGTAGCATGTATTCAGATTGTCTATCACATTATCAATCAGAAATTAAAGGTAAAGCAGAGATATGATTTGTTGAGTCTCTAAGAAAAATCTTTTTGTGATTTTTTTTGAAAATGTTGTGATGTTAATTTAAATAAGCAATTAACACCATGCAGATGGAATTAGTTTTGGAGATGATTTCTATAGCATTGTACTTTCAGAGCTTATAAATTTGGAAATGCTGTTAAGGAAAAAAAAATTGGAATCTACTTATGGCACTAATTCCTACATGTGAAACATGTTCTATGATGCAGAACCTGCTAATACAAGCAAACTATGTATTTTAGATGCATTTAGTACAATAAAGAACGTCTGAATTATGTTTCCTATGATAGTTTCAGAAACAGATGCATTGGAACATTGCAAGACCTAAAGAATATTCAGCACCTGATTTTCAGATGAGATTTCTGAAGAAGGGAACTGACATGAAAACAATACCTTTTTCAGAAATGAAAATCATGTATGTCCTTTCATTCAAATTGTACAGGTCTCGAATGTGTTCCAATATAGCATTTTAAGCTGTCTGATTTTATTTAACTGTTTATGCATTTGCTTGTTTCTTTAGAACATGGAGGCAGACTTTTCAGAAATGAGATATGAGCTGCAGTCACGGGATGGTCTCTGGAGAAGGATGCAGCTGGAATGCCAGCAGTTGCATACAGAATTATTGAAAATCAAAGAGTACAAAGATATGCAGGAAATTCAAATAAAGTATGTATGTTGAAGACAATATTTAAATTAACAAGTACTTCTGAGCTAATAACTTTTTTCTTACATTTTATTTACATTAACCCTGGATTCAGATATCAGATCCTAAACAATTTTAGACTGAGCATTTTCATTGACAATTACATATGACAAGATTTCAGGCAGTGGATGCAGACTGTTAAAAGGTTGTAATGATGCCTAGATCTTTACGAATCAACGCATTTCATATATTCCTACCAATGTGTTTACAGTCTTTCATTTTCTCAGAATTAAAACACCTTGGAAATAGTGCAGTTAAGACTCTCCCTAACCTCCTTTGAATAAAATGTTTGTGTTTTTATGGTTTATCTAATCTGCTGTAGCCATTTGAGATTATATGAAATACCAGTGTACAAGAGCTTTCAGGATTATTCCTGTATATACTTGCAGTGTCCTGAACCTCTAGATATCTCCCACCTGGTTTAGGCCAAACGTTGGTTGTGGTTTGTTTCTCTTCATCAGCAAGCAGGTGTTCCATAGCATTACACTATGGAGAGGATAATGTAAGATAAAGGGTATTGAACATTCTGCTTGTTTCATGTCTTGTTTATTTCTTATTTAAAGGCATCAGTCATCTCCTGTTCAACTTACTGAGCCACTAGAAAATAAAAACACTGAGTTATTGCTGTTTTCAGAAAGTCAAGAACGCCAACAAGAAGAGCTGAACAAGGTATTTCCAGATCTAAACTGCAGTATAGGATTTTTGGAAGAGAGGAGAGTACTGGCCGAGGGTATGTGCATCTGTAGAAGAGAGCAGGAGAATACACTATAGGTTTAGGAGAGCATGGATGTTTCATATGTGAAAAAGATTTCTCATATGGTTGCATTTCTGGAGGTAGCTGTGTAGCTGTAAAATCGACATGCTGATTCCCGTGCAGTAGCTACCTACATCATTGGAATAATGGGAGAGAGCATGCCTAAGCATTACTGAGATTCAAATAATGCCATGCAACTAATAAAGCCTGCAAGGCTATGAGTAATTAATAACCTATAGGAGGTAAGTTGTAGCTTGCAGGTGGTCTCAGAGGTAGGATATGCAAACACATCAACTGATACAAGTTAGTACAGCAGATACTCACACAAGGTTAAGCTTAATCAGGAACCTGCTGCGCAGTCTGGGGCAGAGCTCTTTAGCTTGTACCGTACATCACATTGCATTGCACGTTTCAGAAGCACTGTGAGCAAGCAGCTGTGGCATGGCACTGTGGAATGGCAGATGCCTCGGCAGGCCAAAACACTTTGGATGTAGAGGATGCTCAGAACTCATCTAACAGGCATGTCATGGTTTTGCTGAGCAGCAATGTAAGCAAGAATCACAGAATCACAGAATTGTTTGGGTTGAAAGGGACCTCTGGAGATCATCTATTCCAACACCCCTGCCAAGGCAGGATCACTTAGAGTGGGCTACACAGGAATGAGTCCAGGTGGGTTTGGAATGTCTCTGTTTGGATGAAGCTGACTTGGATGCAGGAATTTTGGCTTGACAGTCATGATCAAGCTCTTAGGGTTTTTGCATTTACATCTTTTTGTCTACGATTCTAATATTTCTGTGCAGTTTCCCATAAATAAAAATGAAATGCCATCTGTTACTCATTGTATACAGTACTGCAAGGAATTGTTAAAATGGGTTCAAAGCTTGTTAGGCTGGGGTTTGTAGTTTTGTTTCTTAGACAATAAAAAAATCTATCAGCACTAAACTGTTGGTTATAGTAGAAGGATTATGAAAACAATCTTTGTGTTGATACTTTGAAGAACTCTGCACAGGAGATGGTACAGAAAGCTTAACCTTAAATTTTATATGTAATGGCAGGAAAAATTCTCATAAAGTGATTCACCATATATACTCTTTATTTCTAATATAGTTTCTTATTAAAGAGTCTCTAGATCAATTTATTTACATCACTCCTTAGTTAATTTAGGCTCCATTAAACTTATTTTTAATTAACTTAGGAGCAATATAAATAAATCATACTTAAGCTTATTGAATGGATATTTTCTTGGATATTTTCCATAAATTCCAATAATTTACATTATTTTTATTGCTTTATTTTAAAATGTTAATTGAAATGTGTTGTATTTTGTTCATTGCTAATACTAAATATGCAAATGAAAGTCCAAAAGAAGTGTTGAAAAAGATGTAAAAATAAATAAAGCTCTGTGCACTGACTCATAAAGACATTTTATTTTACAATCTGAAAATCTCTGATTCAGTTAGAAGAGTTGGTGTTTTGGAAGCAACAGCAAAAAAAGTCACTGATAAGTAGCAAGTGATGCAATGATATTTACTGCACAACATTTTTTCTTTTTGAAATGTATTTGCTATAGATAAGAAACCACATTTATCGAGAGGAGCAGTCCCATTGCTCTGAGCAGGAAAGAATGAAGACAGAAATCTCTGACCTGACAGAGGAGCTTCATCAGAAGGAGATCACTATAGCAACTATCATGGAAAAAGCTACTCTTCTGGAAAGACAGTTAAAAATGGAGTTAGAGACAAAAGACAAATTGTTGGCAAAACAACAGGTATGCAAGCAGGCAATAAAGGCTTACATCATTTTACTCCACACTATTGATAATGACATTCATTATCGGTGAAAAAAAGGCATTACATTTTTCAGGTAGTTTTCATCAGTAGTGCTGTAGTATCTGTGTAGTACTACTAAAGCAGACAAATTGATACTGGAACACAAAAGCACCAGTAAATGTCAACTGTACATCCAAATTGCAATTTTTTCTTGCTGGATTTCAACATGCAAAAGATCTTGAAAACTTCCAATTTGTGGGTATTATATGTGCTTTATCACTAGAAATGCTTATTTGTTTATCTAGAAAGTTTCTAATTTTTATTTTTTTATAAAGTTTTTTGAAGTATGTTAAAAATCTGCATAGAAAATTCTTGTAATTTTAGAGCTGGTAACTCTTGAGATAACAGTGTTTTAATGGCAAATTACAGTTTTAAAAACAAATATGTTATCTTCATTATTTAGTTTATAAACCAAAAGAACCTTTATATTTAGAAGCTTCTGGTTGACTCTGGGTTTTCTGAGAGGATCACTACATACTGAAAATAGTGATTAATGTAATAGTTTACTTTTGACAACAGGAAAGTTAGTGTTTGGGGAAGATCAGAGATGTCTTCTACTGTGTGGCAGTCTTTACCAGGTCACATTCCTGATCATATCACTAAAAGAGTAGATGACGTTTCTAGGCATCATGACTAGGATTTCATTCAGCTTCTGTAGCCTGTAAAATCTGTCCCCCTTTGTATCTCATAACTGCATGCGAACTTCCTTTCTTTCATAAGTCATTACTTCTTTCAAGAAGGTAAATAAAATCAGAGGTACTGCATTTGTAAATCTTCTACAGATGGCTTAATGCTTCTTTCTGCTTTATTGTTGCTCTATTTAAAAATATTATAGTAAGTATTGTTACTGCTTAATTAAATAAATTAAGCTGAAATATCTATACTCAGTGTTATTCGACTTAACAGTAATATTCTTGTATTTAACTAAGAATTTAATCTTTTCCTAGTTACTGGAATTCCAATACCAAGTTATCAAATCTGAAAACACACATCTAAAAGAGATGGTGGAAAACCAGGACCATGAAAGTTGCATGGTAATTTTTGTTAATCTATGAAATATGGAGAATATTTATGTACACTTACTGTAAACATAGATTGAGACCATGGCAGATTTAGAGATTTCTGGCTTGCATAAAGTAAATAAATATAAATAAGGTATGCAACATAATTGGAACCAAGTGGTGTTCACACACAGGCTGAAGATGGTTTACAGCTAGGAGTAATTTCTACCTTAATTGTATTAAATTAGAAATAAGCTAAATTTTTCAGTAACTGTCTAGAACACTAAACAGTTTCTGGGAGCCTATTTTTTTGTAAGTGATGTCACTTGTTTAAGTTTAGACAGTCACCCTCACAGACACAAAAATACGTCCCTTTTTTAATATTTTACACCTTTGTTCATATGTTATTTACCTAACAGTGTAGAAAACTGACACATTTTGCTCCACCCAGCTTATTTTCAGAGTTTAGTATTTGTTTCTCTCCAAACAGGGGATGTTTAAAATTTAATTCATAAAAAGTGTGCCAAAAGGTTATGTAGAACTTTAGTTTATAAAGATACCTGCTGCCTACCACAAAAACTTCAAAACGCCTCCTGCTTACAGAACATCTGCAGTTACTGTATCTATCATAAAAAAAAAAAAAAAAACAAAACAACAAAACAAAAAAAAACCCACAACAAATATTTGATGTTCAGATTGTGAAATATTTGATATTCAGATTCTAGGAATTGGGGAGATATTTATGGATATGTTTGTGCTGTAGGGTGGAGCACTACACAGACCTGTCAGACTTGTGTCAGCTTAAGTCAGTATGATGTAATGCATCATCAGGCAGAGTTACTTTCAAGGTCTAGATTTCAAAAGCAATGTAGCTGCGCCAGCTCAGTTTTGGGGTTACACACCATTGTAACTTAACTGCTGATTCTAGATCTATTAGGGTGAGTTAGCATTCTCGTTCTTCCTCTGTTCTGCCACTCCTCCCACTTGTAAGACATAGCCGAGCCCCTGCTCCCCCATCGTTGCACAAAATATTAAATTTTCTTACATTTTCTGGCATTTCCATTCCAGGTTGGCTCATAAGTTTCCCTTAAAAATAGCTAAGCAAGGCAAGGTTCACAGGAAGAGGTGGCATCAAACCAGTTAGTGCAAGGAATAGACAAGGTTTCAGGTGCAGGAGCACAGTTGTGCTTAGCAGTATACTAAGAACCAAACCTGTAATACTCATGAATTACTGGGTTCCAAAAGAATAAGGTAAATCTAGAAATACATGAAAGAACAGCTTAATAAAATGCAAGGGGTTTTAGTATTTTGTGTGCAATCTGATAAACCTTTTGAAAATTTCCTGTTGATGACAGTATACTGTTTTGGCACATAGATTTGGCAATGCAGTACTCTGCAGAGAGATAGTTCCAAAACAGTTAGCTCAGGTGTGCAGTGTAGGCTTCATGGAATAAGTGATGGGAGAAAGAAAGAGCAGAGTGTCCCAGCTAGACAACTTCCAGAGCTAATCTCCATTGTCCTTTCTTGGAATCCTAGTGGATGGGCTCTAGCCCCTGGTCACAGTGCACATGGGGCTTGCACTTGGAGTATTTTGACTTGCGTGTGCAACATGGGCTGACCCAGTGAGAAGCAGGGTTTAGTAACAGAGCACTCTGTGCTAATGTGGCTTTACTTCACTGCCTCTGAAACTGAAGGTGACTGTCTCAACACAGGTATTAAATTGTGCCTGTGCACATACCCTCTATCTAGTATAGTAATGAACTTCTATAATTTTTCTTGTTATTTTTGGAGGAATTGTTACTGGAGGGAGCAATACAGTCTGCAGCTATAGTTGTTATGGTTGCTTTTATGTCATCAGTTTTACAAAGCAAGTGATGAATTTACAACAATAATATTTTGAATGCATGTTTATTGAGGAATTTTAATTTGTTTTATTGTGTTATAGAGGCTGTTTTTCTTTCTTTTTTATTTATCTACAGTGATTTTTTTTTTTCTGGAGGCAATTATCTTGGTTTGCTCTAAATGTTGCATGATTATATATGGTAGCTAGGTCTTTCTTTAGCGTGGAACATTGTTTTGTGTTTGCTTGTTAAAAATACACCCATTTATTGTGGAAAAAATAACTACATAATGATGGTTTTATCTCTTTTCACAGAATATAGATTTATGTAACAAAGAACATGGAAATTTCACAGCTTCTGTTCACAAAATGAAACATGAGAATTTAAGACTAGAAAATAGTGTTGCTAAACTACAAAATGACACAGAAATATCAATGCTGGGTTGCACAGATACATATGGAGAAACAGAGCACAGCTACCAAACCCATTCAAAGATGCAAAGAAAGGAAGAGAGGTAATATTTAGATTGTACACATATATCAAACTTCCTGTAAGTGTTTAGGAAGCATCTATCTGGATAAAAACTGTTAAGTTTTTTCTGGTTTTGTTCATTCAGAACTTCCACCACCATAAATATCGGACCTATTTAGCATATTTGTATTCAGTTCCTACAGTTTTCTGGGTGGCTGATGGAATTTGGCAATAAATGAAGTTCCAGAAATGTTTTATCCCTAATTTAGTATTTAGCACAAGAAACAACTTCAAAAACTTTTTGTGTGCTGCTCAAGTTATTCTAAGTTCCAAGTTTTGCAAAACAGGACAGACCATATTTTTACTGCCAAAAAAAAATAAAAAAAGACAAGGAAAGGATATAAAAACCTACACAAGAGGTAGACTGCTCCATGGGAGGTTATCTTAATAAGCAGTTTGAACTACAACCCCTGCTGAAAAGGTTTGTGTCTGTCCACTTTAATTTACTGGAAGTTTTATTAAATGTATTTTAATGACTTGTCTGGTTTTGGTGTTCTGGAGTGACCTGATTTTTAAAAGAAACATAATTTCAGATGCCCTGAGTAAGTCATTACTACAATAAACTCCTTGTTAGGGAAAAATAATGAGACTTAAGAATACTCAGACTCATAGAAAACCTTGTAGTGATGACTTTCTTGTTATTTCCCTGTATTCAGTGAGGCACTGAACTACCTTCATGACATTGCAGGAAAAAAAAAAGAAAACAAAGTCCCTACTAAGCAATATTTCACAGTACAGGAAAGTAAAAAATAATAGGAAGCTAAATGTTTTGATCAGTTGTAATAAAGAACTTGCATTATAGCACTAACGTAAAATAGCTCTGTGAAGCAAAGTTGGAAAGGTGGGAGCCAAAATTGTACATTTTAAGATTCCAAACTCATATATACAGCTTTTGGCAAAATTTAAAATTATTTTCTTTCCGCAAAATAAAGTAGCATCACAATATATTTTTGCCTAGAAGTTCCTTTTACAGAATGTTGTTTAGTGTTGGACATAGTATTCATGTTTATATAAATAAATAGATATATTATATGTGTATATATATATGCATATACATAATGTGCATACATATATATACACACAAACAGAAGTAGTAGTTATGGCTGTTTTCTTATGAAGTTTCAAATTATGTTGAAGGTTTTGCAGGAACAAATAATTACAAATCAAGATACAGATTATTCTGCATCCGTAGGTCTCATAACTTCACCTAAATCAGTCAGTGTAATTTTTGCTCATGCTTCCACTCTTCTCAAGTGAGAAAAAATAGAATTTTTCCCATTTTCTCAGAATTTACACTGTGAAATTTCACTTATGAGAATGTGCGTGTATTGGCAATAGAACTATGCATGTAATTTGCAGGATTTTGATTTCATAGCCATTGAAGACCAGTGTTGAACCAGAACTGGGAGAGTTAACCTTTCCCATAGCAGAAATCTTAGCCACACTACAAAACACAATATAAATTATAAATAATACGATGAAACAGATATATTGAGCCTGGTTTTCAGAATCTAAACCACATATTAACATATTTGAATTCCTAAATGAAAAGCTATCTAGCTAAATAAATACATACACAAACAGATTTCAAAAATGTGCAAATTTCACATGTACTGTATATGCACATCAGCCAGACAGTCTTTTTAAGATTGGGCCCTCTCTATACTATCAGTTCTCTGTTCCCAGACAGGGTACTACCTCAAGATTTTCCCAGAAAACTAAAATTAAATTTTCAATCATCAAATGTATGCAGATAAACCAGGGAATTGATGTTGGTTGAGTTAAAATCTGGGGTATGTTTATTTTATTGTGAGCATAAACCCTGTTATTTCTGGTTTAATTTGCAGTTCTGTTTCCATGGTAATTATGGCACTGGAGAAAGGGCACAAAAACTTTTTTTACATAGTAAAAAAATAGAAAGCATGGTGTTTATGGAAGGGAGGGGTATATATATATATATATATATATATATATATATATGTTCAACAGTATTTTTCAGTCATGTCTCTCAATCAGTACTGGAATCCTGGGTATGGGCACCATGATGACTTAAAAAGGACACCTCTAAAGAAAACACAGGAAATTCCAGGAAGTTATATTGGCAGTTTTAAAAGCAATACTATTTCTTCTTTCTTTCAGCATACAGTGAATTTCTAAACATTACAAGTAAGATATGAAGGAATAGCATCTTTTTGATAAAGAAAGGACTGCCCACATTCTACCTATAACCACCTCAATTAAATACTGTTCTCTTATATGATAATTGCCTTACTTCTAATTGCCATTTACGTAAGTTTTTCCTACCCTCAAGATTTCAATCCTTTAGTTAGACCTTAGCCACATACAGCTGATGTAAATTTTGGCATAGTTGAAGAGGACTTTCTCTGATGAAGCTGATATGTTTAGTTTATTTCTTCCAAAATTAAAGCACGCATGTGAGCTCCCAAATGAAAAGCTACCTATTTACCATAAAAATATGCACAAAATACATAATGGGTCAACCCGGAGTGCGCTTTCATCATATGGCAAAAGTGAAGGGTAAAAGCAAGAACTGAATGGCTGCTAAGGTAGCTGGGGATCACTTTAATGATGTGTGTTGATGGTGAAGCATCTGTGCTGAGGAGGTTTTCACCACCCTTTGGAGGTCACACACTTAGTCACACTCACGACTGTATCAGTTATTGCAATAGATGAAGTGGAAGCAGTGAAAACCATCTCTTAATGAAAATACTTTTTATCCATTTTTAAAATGTAGCTAGCAGTTATACTTGCAAGGTAGAAGCATCAACACAAATTCCTGAAGACATTCTGGTCATTAAAGATCTGCTGTTTTCTTTCTCAAGACTAGTTATGTCAACCAGCACAAGCCGTGTAAGGAATTTCTTTTGCATCACTTTAGTCATTGACCGCATAGGGACCAGGCTGATTTTATATATTACTCTGGAAAAGATGATGCCTGTCTACATAAATTCCCTTTGTGAGGATATAATTCTTTCACTTCTTGGCCTATATGTCACCATGTCAACAGCAATATTATTTTTGTGAAGTATATGTACATGTTAAATACCCTATGAAGTAATCCCACTGAAAATTATTTGCATTGCTAGTGTTAACAAGTGGACAGTTTTTTACAAATTTGCAGATATTTGCCTACATTTACATTTGTATTCATAGTAGATCTCTGGTGTTAGATATTATTTTGCCCGGAACTGGTAGAAATTTAAACCCCAGCTGTAAACACTGTCCAAAGTAAAGGCATAGTATCTGTATTGAAGCACCTCAGTGTAGGTGTCATGTAGTTTTTCAAAAACACCAAGGAGCCCCAGCATGGATTACAGTAGGAAGTGGAGTTCCTTTAAAAAATCAGTCCTTTTTTGGGGGCAGGGGTGGGGGAGGGGGCAAGGGAACAATATCTATTTTCACTATCTATGAGCTACCATAACTGTAGGCACTCAAGTCTGAAAATTCTGCTCTTAATGGAGTAAGCTATATGATAGCAGTAATAATTGTTATTAAATACATAGAGAAGCAGTTCTGAAGGGGAAAAAAGAACACAGATCATATAGACTTTATTGTAGGTTTAGAGAGAAAATTACTTCCAAAAAGGTCAGAACACAAGATGAAGAAAACTAATCTGTGATTTTATTATTCATGCCATCTATCTTCAATTGTGGCAGGTTTTTTTTCACTGTGCCCTTCATCCAAACAATATCTGGATGATATGGGGGGAGGGAGGGTACAAAACAGTATTCTCCTGTGCCCAAAGAGGAGAGAGTGTTTATGTAAAGAGAACGTGAAAGAAGAAAACTCTGCCTCCATAAAGGTAAACATTTTAGGTGATTTAGAAAACGGGAAGGTTTGGTGAATAGTCTCAGAGAGTTTTATGTTAGAATGTATAATAATATTATTATAGTAATAACGAAACTATAGTAATATTAATAATATAGCCCTGTGCTTGTAATTTCCTTTCCTGTAGCATTCAGAGTATCTTAATCACTGCCTCTTTTATAATCAGAGAAAAAATACATTCTTCATTCGTTCTCTGAGTTGTTCTACACAGCCCATTTATTGAATACTCAGTTTCATGCTTCAGGGCTGTCATGGTTTAACCTGGCAGGCAGGTAAACACCACACAGTGACTCGCTCACTCCCTCACCCTCAGGGAAAGAACTGGGATAAAATAAAGTAAAATTTGTGTGTTGAAATACAGTTTAATGGGACAGAAAAAGAGGGGGAAATAATAATAATAATAATAATAATAATATAAGAATTAGAATATACAAAACAAGTGGTGCATGGTGCAACCGCTCACCACACCAACTGATGCCTAGTCAATCTTCTCCCAGCTTTTTATTGCTGATCATGACACCATACGGTCTGGAATATCCCCATGGTCAGCTGGGATCAGCTGTCCCGGCTGAGTCCCTTCGCAGCTCCTTGTGCACCCCCACACTCCTTGCTGGTGGGGTGGAGTGAGGAGCAGAAAAGGCCTTGACTCCGTGTGAGCACTGCTCAGCAGTAATGAAAACACCCCTGTGTTATCAACACTGTTTTCACCACGAATCCAAATCACAGCCCCATACCAGCTACTGTGAAGAAAATTAACTCTACCCCAGCCAAAACCAGCAAAAGGGCTTATACACGAGCAGCTCCGTTAAGGCTGCACAGCCACCCTCTTCCAACAGCAAAAAATTTAAATTAAGATTAGAAAATTATGTTATGATCTTTCTGCAGAAAACAGGCTTTTCCCTGCACTTGGCAAGTTCTTGTTTTTATTTAAAAAGAAAAAAAAGTGTGCAGCACTGCACACTTTTGAATATTTATAATAATTATATTTTAGTAGCAGAGAACATGCTCTTTAAAAGTTTCTATAGCTGCATTTCAAATTAGTGAAGTGTCTTAGGATCTTTGCAATACTAGAATCTGTTCAGACAGCTATCATCTTTTAGTTGTTACCTCCCAAGATTAAAATTTCATCATAAGCACAGGCCTCAGTACAACAGAATTTTTTACCTCAATCAGAAACATTGTAACAGAAATTTATTAATATCTGAAATAAATTTTTTTGCATGTTTTGACATATACTACAAGGAATTATGCCATTGATAATTAGTGCAATTCAGCAGACATTGGGCCAACCTAGTCTCAAAATTCTGCTTTGATCAATACAGTATCAGAATTGTTCAGTTCAGAACTGTCAGAAAAGAAGATATTTTGAATAGGAAGAAAATAGCTGTCTTTTTTTTCTAAGTTGCTGTTAACTGTAATAGTTTTAGCTTTACAGAACTCAAAATGAATACAAATATATACATAATATATATATATACACATATGAATACATATATATACATATATAATACCTCAATTCTGATCATTCTGATCACTCTAAATGGGATACAAGAGTTATGGAACATCATAATAAAATGTTTAAAAATTCTTCCTTAAGCTTGAAGATTTCACTTATAGCTGCAGAAGCATTTTCTTGTACAATTTTTTAGCAAGTATATTTTAAAAATCTATTTTTTTATATTAATCTCCAAAGTGTTGTCATTAAATTAGTGGCAAAATTAGCATTGCCATAAAACTGCAGGATCAAATATTCGTGTGCTACTTTTTATTTATTTATTCTAAACTCTAGCTATTTGAACATGTTTAAGGTGACATTAGATCAACATTTACTAATAATCCAACCACTAATAACAGTTTTTGTCTCTCATCTCACACTTTCATATTTCATTTCCTCTATTTGTTTGGCTAAATTCACTCAAGTTCCTATCATCCTATAAGCTAGGACATGGCTGAGGAGTGCTTTGTTCTACTGAAAAGCTAAAGGAACGATAATCTTTAGCAGAGGATGGGTAACAAACACTTAAAGAGTATTGGCATCTTCAACACCTGAAGTGAGTTTGTGTTTTAGCTCTTGTCCTGCCACAGTTTATACCAGCCCAGGCAAGGTTCCTCAACTTATGCTCCAGGGAAAGGGTTTAAATTAGGGTGATTTAAGTCACAGCTTAAGCAGAAAGAGAATGCACACCCTGGCATTTACGTTAACTTAGGTGGAAAGTTGCTAAATTGCTGCAACTTGTAATGCCCACAACTTCATGCATGAAGAAGTTTGAACAGCTAAATAACCAAAACTGTGGAAACAAAGAAAACAAAATCCTTTGGCTTTGCTGTGATAGCTTAATAGTTTTAACTGGTTTTCATATTTTGATTTTTTTTTTCTTTTAGATCATTCCAAAATAAAGATGCATGGGAAATGGAATGTCAACAGACTGCTATGCTTACTGCCAGTGGACACCACAGAAATTGTAGTCCTGCTTTATATGTCCAAGGCCATATCACTGGGTCAAAAAGTGATAGCATTTTATCTTCTCATTCACTTCACAGAGGTCACGAAAAGAAAATCGTTTATAAATCTCCATCACCACCAGTGGGGTATCCTTTGGGCTTTGGTGGGCCATGTCCTAAAATGAGCAGAACAGGCACTTTACTGAGCCCTGCTTACAGTGGAGAAGAAATAAAATTATCAGAAGAAATCAATTTATCAGTAAGTAACTCTTTTCCTCTAACACATACATTTTCCAAAATCCATCTGTGGACTAAGTGCAGCCTTGGAGGAGCCAAAAACTAGATAACCCTTGTTGTCATTATTATTTATACAGTGACAGCCCAGCAAAAATGGAAATACTTGCCCTAACAGAAATGTAGTTTTCCTGGAGATTAAACATCCCCTACTGAGCCATACCTCGAGTCTTCTAAGAAGGATGATGATAATTACCTACCATTATGTGACTGTGAGAAAGATTTCTAAATTTTAGCTTATTGGCTTCTATATTGGGGCACTTTGCATCATTTTGCCTCTGTAAGAGCACTCTGCTTTAAGTGCGTATTTCTATGATACCTGCAAAGTTACTGCTATAAGTGCTGCTAGACAAGTTTCTACAGCATCTGACTGATGGAAGAAATCACAGGAATCACAGCAACTATTTTCTATATATTAGTTATCTTAAAAGGAACAGAAATTATAACTGCTGTAATCCTTATTTTTCTTAAATGAAAGAGAAATAGCATAGCATTCTTGCTTTTAGTCTTCATAGGCTGGAGATTGTCAGCCTCCATGACAAGGGAGACAAATCCCACTTTGCTTAGGACAACTTAAGAATGCCATAATTCTTTGGCATAAGATCTCTCTTTAAATTTGAGGTTTATCCTCTTCCTTAGTATTTGCTATTCTTCCTTAGTCCTCCACTACAGGCCACTATTTTTTTGCACTTGAAAACTTAGCACGCATTTTCCTGACCTCAAACCATGGAACTCTGCCATCATTAAGTATGGGAACTAACAAGGTAAGGAATGAACTGTCAACATCCTTCTGCCCAGCTGTGATACCTGAATCTTTGTAACCAGGAGATCCTCAGCTGCAGGGCTGTGGCTGAACCTGTAGGGGAACTTACAGGCAATTTTCTTGCCACTTATCACCTTAAGTAGGAGCGAAGAGGATTGTTGACACCAACAATCATCTTCAAGCAGTCTGTGTTTGTTGTATCCCGGTTCTGAAGCAAACAGACAGCCTTCCTATCAGAGACATGACTGCTGGAAGACTGTTTCCACATTCCAGAATCTCATTGTTGATAGGAAGGACCACAGTAATGGCCTGCCGAGGAAGCAGGGATTGCAGTGCAGCCCCTTGCTGACTATGGTCCCATCATCTTTGTCCCAGTAGCCTGAGAACAGTGAAAACCACGTAACCCTGGGTGTTTGACCTCACTTCCATTTTTTTTATATTCTCATGTTCCACGGGAATTTTAAGTAAATGGCTTTTGGTTTCTCATGGCTTGAGAGTTTTCCTCTTTAAAGTGCTAATCATGAAAAGAGTTGTTTGGACTTTTTCAGAAGAGCCTGCTAAACACCAGTTCTTTTCTCTTCTGTCAGAAGTTTCAGAGATGTGAAACTGCTAAGCTTCTGTTTTCAGCCAGCCTGGGAAAAATGTCCATTCTGAGACACTTTTGCAGTGAAACTACTTCCCAGCTGGCACTCAGGACAGGGTCAATGCTAAGGCAATTGACTAGATTATAGGGAAAACACTTTCCAGCTGGTGTGTGGGCAAAGTACATAACAAAACTATTAAGCAAGGGACATTTCCCATACAGAGACTAAGTCCAAATCAGTGGCATTGAAGCAGGTACAAGTTCAGACCACTGAAATAAAATCATCACTCAGGCTGATGCTGGATACCATAGCTTTAGTGCTGAAATCATTCAACAGTCTGTTACTCTAGAGTTCTGTGTTCAAATGGAAAGCCATTGCATCAAGGAGAAAGAGGGAAAAAAAGATATAGTATGTTGCAAACCAGAGTTCTTTGACAGTTTTCTGGACTTGTGGGGAAGAGGACACAGGGACAGGACCCAAGTGAAATCTCCAGTAGGTTCAGAACTTCTGAAAATGTTATAAGGCATTATTTTTCTGAAGCATATATGTAGCACAAATTGAAAACATCAGACTTCCAGGTGATGTCCTGATAAATACCAAAATTAGTCTTGCGGTATTGAGGGAAGAGAGAAAACAGTCTCTTAGGCTTTAGACAAAGACTTACATCTCTCCTTCTAGTAGAGAGTGTTCAAAGATTAGTAAATGTTCCACTGCAACATCTGCCCTTTCACATACTTACTTAGAGGTTCCATGTGTAGAGTAATTCTTGCCTTTTAGAATAAACTAGGAAGCTCAGCTAGACTTCACTGGAAATAACCCCAAAAATTCTTGTTTCTGGGCTTTCCAAATCTAGGGAAATACTTCTTCTCTGAACAGTACTTTGGGTTGTGCTCTCTTACTGAAGTGAACAATTTCAAAAAATTATTCTTATCTTTTAGTCACAAATATCTTCTCATGTTTCTTTTCAGATGCTGGACAGATATTTTTTCTTGTTTTCAAGGCTTGGAAATAAAAAAAAAAAAAAGTTGAGCTGGAGCACTGAAAATTTAAATTAGGCATTAAGAAACTTTGTAGCATTATTATGGGAACTTGCTTAATAAATAGATTGCATTGGAAAGTTTTGGAAATTCTACCACTGGACATTGTTTGGAGTTATTTTGACAGTTGTGATCCTACCCTGAGGCATGTTGTAGTCCATGCCCCTCAGTCTTAGGTATTACTTTTACCTAGCTGATTAGGTACTTAGGCCCTCTAAAAGTCTTCCTATGTCATTCAGCAATTTCCTAGCCATCTCAAATTTTATTTTCATATATGAGCAGAAGCATGTTTAAGACAGGCATCTGTACCTGCTGCTTAAGATGTATTCCAGTGTAGGGTTAGAGGAAACGACTCCCAAAAGCTGCAAAATTTAGTCACAGTGAGACTAAAATTAGCCAGACCAATTTCTACTTCCAGTATTACAAAATCTTTCCTGGAAAGTAGAAGCATCTAATCATAAGAAGACTATAACACTGGTATTTGACCACTCATGATTTGAACCCTAAACGTAAAAATATCCCAACATTCTTTCTGCCCTGCTGAAGGTGCATCCAAGAATGCTGGGACAACTCATGGGGCAAATAAGAGATTAACTTTAGTCAAATTAATTAGGCAGTCTTTGAGAGAGAACAGCCCTTCCTGAAGGGCTTCTCCCTAGCAATTCAGAGTTAATTCATAACCACTTTGGGTAGTTCTTATTTAAGGAGAAGACATATTTCATATGTAGAAATACACATCTCTATCAGGCGCCCTTCTTCATCTCCAGAAAATGAGGCAAAAAGGTGGTTCTTGTTAATGGCATACACCAAAGAAATATGAGATCAGCTGCAGTGTGGAAGTGAAAAAACAGAGGCCTTGCTGCCTAATTACCCAAACAAGTTAGATGGAAAGCTTACAATGAACCCATTTCTATCCAGATCCTGTTAGAAAACTAAAAAACGTAAAAGCGGTATCCGAGGAAAAGAAATTCAAAACCAGGGACCATGAATCTCATCTGAGGCATGGATTAAAGAAGCTTCTTTATGTTTTTTGTTCCTCAGATGCCAAAAGTAAAGACAATAAAGAACATAATGAGAGAATAGACCAGAGGCTTGGAAAGCAAAGCGTAGTTGCTAACAAGGAATGTTGCCTTTTAGAACTGTTTAGATAAAACCTTCTCTCAATGTGCATGAAAAACAGTGCATTAGGGACCTATCTAAAATCATATTCTGTGATGTCTGACCCTCAGTGGGGAGCCATGACCTGCTTATTCTAAGTGATAAACATTCTTCTCTCAGCTGTGAGGGAATTCAGAAAAGTCTCATTTAGAGTTTACAGTGTATTTCAAGAAAAAAACACATCAAAGGAAGTACCAGTTGAAGCAAAGGACATCAGCAGTTTAGGAAGGTGGCTCGATCATGAGGCCAATCTGTTTCCAGGGACAAGTCAGTAACTGTAAGCATTGTTATAATGAATCTCTAAGGATCTCTTGTAACTTGATGCAGTGTTTCTAAAGACTAGCACCTGTGTAAACCTGCTGTCCATATGGAAAAGTCCAACAAGACTCTTTTCTCTAGGTGATGACTCCTATTAAATTCATATTTCATATTGAGATTTTCCCAGTTTCTCATGCTTCTCACTGCAAGTATTTGCTTAATATTGAATCGGTGATTTCAGAGCTGGTATTCAGTAAGCGAAACACATGGTGATTTTATAAGTAAAGCCTCCAAATCCAATGTCTTCTTCATAATACAAAAGCCTGTTTCAAATAATTTAAAATAGTACTGCCAACTCTATCAGTGAATCCTAATATGACAAGGAGATGTATTTGTGATCTAGCTCATGAAGGAATACATGTGCATATGGCCATGGCATTCAGAATCTCAGAAAAAACTCTTCATGTGAAAACACTGATAATTTATGGATGGGAAAGCATGCACGTGTTAATGAAGAAAACCAGAAGACAGGTGATGTTCCTCCAGTTTCTTAAACTTCAGAAGAGTGGCATTCTTTCTTATTCCTGCTAGTGCATGGATTGATAGAGGACTGTTGTGACACAAAATGATCCAATACCTTTGAGTTTCTTATTCGTACATGGCAAATTTTTCTTCCCCATCCTTCTTCCAAAAAAGCAAGATTCTGCTTTATCCGTGAATTTCATTTTAGGAGCCCTATACATTAGAAAGCCTGTCTCACTCTAGAAGGATGGTATTAAATTCAGAATTAATTTCCAGCTATCTCTTACTTGCTGTACTTTGAAAAGAAAAGGGGTTTCCTACAGGAAATCTCTAAATTTCATCTCAAAGTCTCCTGCAAAGAGTTTGAATAGAATGGTGCTTTAAAGCATTTCTCTACCTAGAATCTTCTGGACTTACAAGCTGCTAAAGGGTAGTTTTCATTGAAATTGAAAACAAAACCCAAATTTGTCTCTAGACAGAATACCTCATTTGATACAAGGGAGCCTAGAGTAAGAAAAGCTTACAGGTGTAATAAAATTAGCCTTTAGCACAGAACATTTGAATAGCTGAATTCTTATTTGATGTACTGAGATATTAACTCTCTAAATTCTAGAAAAAGCAAAACCCAAGATTCTAGACTAATAACTCAATCAGTAACTAAAACTATTTAAGATATGGTTTAATTAAGATTATTAACTATTTTTCTCAATATATGACCACATATAGAAAATAATATTTCTTTTAATATTAATGCAACTATACTAAGTTTTTTCCTTAGTCAAATTTTAAAAAGTCATGTCATAAAATTGTATTTATGTATACAAATAAGCATTGAATGTATTTAAACAAACATAGTATCTTTAGACAAACTATTTCATATTTCTTTTGATAAAGACATTCCAATAAATGCATCTTAAGCATTAGCAAAAGAATTAACAAAAATTGCTGCTTAAAAATTTAGAACTTGTTCCAGCAAAGACTCACTTTGCTTCATACAAGTCTGCATCCCATGACAACCAATTTAAAGCTGCTTTTTGGTATGGTTTATGTCTGAGGCTACTAAATGCTCATTAAATGGAAAGAAGATTTTTCAGCTGGATTCCTTGCAGTGAATAAAATTTAGTACATTCTCCAGGATGTCAGGGCTTGGAGTTAACAGTACTGAAATGAGCATAGGTTTTTCTTCCTTTCCTCAGAAAGCATCACATCACAGAAGCAGAGAGCTAAAATTCCAGGAGGCAATCAGCAGTATCCAACACTAATTATATTTTGTAATTCCAAAAAAGGTTATTGTCCTCTGCATTGGTTTACATTACACAAATAACTAACATAACCTGTAGGTGACCCAAAGAATTTGGAGGTTCTGCAGCAGCCTAATCCTGTCTAATGGAATATTTAAATTTTTAATCCTAAATCTACATTCTAATGCTGTGAATACCAGAAATAATCAAACATCATGTTCACTTTATGTCCTTTAGGCACATGGATGCCTTTAAAAATTTATGCTCAAATTCATGTGTGAGGTATAAAGTGCTACAGCATTATTAGTTGTTATAGGTCAAGATGTTCTTCCTATCTAGAATTTGATAATGCAAACACGTTATATTATTTACTGTTTTTTACTAACCATGATTTTCTATTCCTTGCTCAGTCTCCCCATGAGATGTCCTTCCTCGCAACAACAGAAAAGTTCCTTCAAGAGGAAGATAAACATGCAAGAGAGTTTGAAGAACGTTTAAATTCACACCTTGAAGAGCTGCAAAGACACTCTGAAAATATTCTAAAAAAACATGCCAGGATACAGCAAAGCAGACATACTTAAGCCAGTCACACAATTAAGAAAAGAAAACCAGGTAATGACCCATGAGTTTCTTTAAACTTAAATCTGCAATTAGCTGTTTAATGTATTTAGGCACGTTGCCAATAGCATTTATTTGTAGTACCAAGTTTTCAATAAATCATCATTATCCTATGGATTTAAGTATATTGTAACTAGACTATATTACAAAATAAACTAAACATATTCTAAAATATGAAGGTTGGTTTTCCACAGTTAAATTGTGTGCAGCAGAGACCTTGTTGCAGCTCTGTAAAATAAGTAAGATATTAAAATTCTGTAGTGTACAGAGGGCTAATAAGTGGAATTATTCCCTTGAAATTGGAATCAGCCAAGAGAAATTCTCTAGATTGTAGAGAAGAATAATAAGGGCCTTTAGCCATGTCACAGCTCCTGGTGTAAAGAGCTTATCTATGCTCTGGTTATTCCTGGCTGTGGAAGTAGCCCTTGGGAGTTTGGAAATGAGAAGTTTGATCTCTTTCTTTATTACCCTCTAAGCCATGTCAGTCCATTAGAGGAACAGGAATAGACAAATCACATATTTTAAAGACACCCATATTGCCCCTTTTACCAGACTTTTAGATTTCACCTGAGGCAGAGCCTGATCTTTACATTAACATTTTACAATTTTTAAACCCTGTATTCAAAAGCATCTGTTTGGGTATTGATGTTTTGGCTCCTTGTTTAACTACATCGTAACAGGAAAAAAAACCTTAAACTTCAGGCAACTTGTGATCTGTCTTAGGTAAGGGCCTAATTTCTTTACATTTTTCCACAACATAGGAAGAGTTATATAACTGAGCAGAGTTAATTCAACTCCATGTGCCGAAGAAGTGCATAATGTTGAGATTCCTTTTATTTGCAATTCATACTGAATTCTATTGCTGTGCAAGCGAAACAGAAATTACAGACACTGTTGATGAACCACCAATTTTAGTGAATGAGATACTGAAGAACTGCTTTCTAGCATATACTGTTGCCAACTTCCTGGGAAAATCTGGATAAAAATAATACCAGGCTGTCAAACTGCTCCAGTTTGTGAGTAAAAGAAGTCTCATTAATATTCAAGACCATGGCTAAAATGTAAATTCTTTTTCGATGCGATATTTCCATTAAGACAAACTACACTACATCGCACTTACACAAAATACCAAGATTTTAAATACCAGTTTGGCTCAGCTTGCAGTAAAATGAGTAATGAAGATGAGGACATCAAAGAACCTTTTACAGGAAAATTCAGGAAAATTACCAAATTCAGCTGGAGGAACAAGGACTGAATAAAAAGATGACGGAAGGACATCTGAACAAACTAAATATGTATGCATCCTCAACTTCAGGGGAAATGCATCTGGGAGATGTAAAAGAACTACTGAAGAAATTCAGGAACCTCTGAAAATGAAGCTAAATTTTAAGCCAGGCAAAACCTGTAGAAGCGAAAAGACAGCAAATTATTGTCTTTCAGAAGGGAGAGAGAAAAAAAATTAACCAGTCAGCCATTTAAACATACAAGACAACAGTATGCTCCATGTCTTCAAAGAAATGTATGTGTCTGAGTCCAGTCCAGGCACGAGGATACTTCTCAAGGTATATCAGAAACCTCTCAAGGTCTGTGTAATGATACAGAGTGAGTGAATGAAATTATCAAAAAATGAATAAGATTTTTTTTCCCTAAAGCTTTTTAAGATCTTTCCAAGCTACTAATTTTGCCTAATGAAATAAGAGTTAATTTCACCCGGTTTTTGTGCAACGCCATATAATAAAGTCCCTGTAAAAAGCACTGAAAACTGCAAAGTACCTGTATCTGAACAGCCTACTTGTTAGTGTTATTGCCTGCTCAGAGTATATTATGCCACAAATGTGCTTAGACAGTATGGATCAAAGTGCCATTTTCTGAACACCTACCAGAAAGGTCACCCTTCTCTTTCCCAGCCAAACAGCCTAAGTTGCTCATCTGACAATCTCCAATTTAAATGAGCCCTTTGCTGCCACAGTATGATTGGAGCCACAACACTGGTTTGAATACCTTAATTGTATTAAAAGGTAGAAACTTGACTGAGCTGGTGAGAGGTTTCTGAAGGAAGAGACATGTTCCTGATATTATCATGGCAAAAAAACTTTTCAAAGAATGATGTACAGTGAAAATAATAAAGACTGAGAAATGATATACCTTATAAACAGGTGTTGGGCATGTATGTATATTGACATAAAGAGGAATAACCAGAAGGGTCCAAGGCTATAAATGCCTGAAAGCACAAATAAAAATGAAAAAAAAATTTAAAAAAGAATTATTAATCATTAAGTTCATTTGACAGGACAAGGCACAATGTTCAGGAGCTATGGAATGCCCAAAACATACAGAAAATTTCTATTCTACTTCGTGAATAACGAGGCAATGGAAAATTTTTGTAAGCTGCTGGACTTTGATGACTTTTTCAAAGCTTTACTGAAAAGCATTTTTTTTGGCTCCCAGTTGAAAGACTTGTTTTAAATACAAAGAACAATTGTTCAGGCTGCCACCAGCTTTTGCTGAAGGAAAAACAGAGGTCATGTGCATGCAATTGCCAACATGTTTCATCAAGATGTAATTTTGAAATAGTTGGTGGCATAAGAGCTGCCAGAACATTGCTGTCCAATTCACTCCCCAAAACTTACTCTGAGGAGCCTGAAATGACAGTAACTGAATAGAATCATTTAAAGGAGCCTCACATGAAAGTTGGGTATTTAGTGCATTTTCTTCCACATTTTAACCCTCTCCTTTTATCTCTGGGAAATTTAGGAGTGTAAGAATGGGAGTGCATCAGATGGTAGGTACTCAGAGCCATGCAGAGAGGAGTGCAAACTGCAGCAGCAAAACACAAGTGCCAAATGAACAACAAAAATGAACCACCAGAGGCACAGCTTTCTTGCTTTTCCAATGGGTAAACTTAAAACTATGAATTTAGCTTACCCAGTCAAAGGCTAATAAATCTCTGCTGTGATCAGAGACACTACAGAAAGTGGCTGACCCTCACAGTTTCACTGTTCTGGCTTTATTGCAGTGGAATGGCTTATAATTCCTGGTTTAACGGTGGTACAACAGTGCCTAGAATCAAGCCCACTAGCAATTAATAATTCAAAGCTAGACTAAACACCAGCAATGAGAATGAGAAGGTAGCCATCAACAGAGACTGCCTAATGAGGTGAGCCTCAGGTGACTTTACAGCTATGGTATATCATGCCAGTCATCAAAGCTTGGATCACACAGCCAGCTCAGGTATGTACTGGACCCCATTCAGTCCTGCTGCTTTCTGCTCCTGGGTCTCCCTGAGACTCAACACCTGGGAGAAGGCAGAGGGCACTGGCAGAAGGTCCTTGGCCTGTGTCATGGGATTACATTCTTGTCTGGCTTTACAACCTATGAGAGCCAATTATAGCATTCATAAGCACATTTTTCCCCATTTAATTCCATTCAGAATAGCTATGCACTAGATCTTACACTAACTGCCTTGTGCTAGGGAAGTGTTTCGGTTTTTTCTTCTCAGACACAGCAGTCTGCTGAGAAAATGCAAGGCTAAGGATTGTTCAAAGCAGAGTTCGTTGGAATTGGCCAAACCAATGTGGGAACTGTGTGCTGTTTTTTCCTCACTGTAGGGATCAGATCTCAAAGTTCACTGTGTTGGAGTTTCTATTTAATCACGTGGACACCCTCAAATCCACAAATAGGCTGTAATTTAATGTAGTGTATATAAATTTCTGCTAATGGGTTGAGCAGTGCCCCTAGACACTGATATTCTGCACTGCAGTGTCCCTTCCTAAATCAACAGACTGATCAGTTTGTTATTCTGATCTACTCTTAACCAAACTACCAGGGACTTCAAAAGGGATTTATGAAGAAAAAATGCCCACTTACCTTGTGAGAACATGTTTGCATGCAAACAGCAGTCCTGAACCATTGTGTCACCAAATTTCCTGCAACAGATGAAGAATTTACTTGGTGTTAACCCTTGTAAAATTACACATGGAGCAAGAAATCCTACAGAAGCCCTGCTCCTCAGCATCCCATGTAAGCACCATAGCAAGAATTGTTTTTGCTTGAAGCTTCACCAAATAAAGGTGGTATGCCGAAGACAACATCGGCTAAGAGCTCCAGCTGTAGTGATGATGAAGACGCTCAGCTGGGGCATGGACGGCAGGGCTTTGCTTTGCTGGTGCATGGCATGTGAACTGGAACCACCTGCTCTGGTAAGAAAGTTCTCCTGGTAAGAATCATAGAGTATCCTGAGTTGGAAGGGACCCACAAAGATCATCAAAGTCCAACTCCTGGCCCTGTGCAGGACACTCCAAAAATCACACTGTGTGCCTGAAAGTATCATCCAAATGCTTCTTGAACTCTAGCAGGCTTGGTGTTCTGACCAGTTCCCTAGGAAGCCTGTTCCAGCACTCAACCACCCTTGGGGTGAAGAATCTTTTCCTAATATCCAACCTAAACCTTCCCTGACACAACTTCAGGTCATTCCCTTGGGTCCTCATCACAGGTCACAACAGAGAAGAGATCAGTGTCTGCCCCTCCTCTTCCCCTCACAAGGAAGTTGTAGACTGCAATGAGGTCTCCCCTCAGTCTCCTCTTCTCCAGGATGAACAGACTGTGCCCTGGGTCATTCCGCACAAGGCTTCTCCTCCAGGCCCTTCACCATCTTTGCTACCATCCTTTGGATGCTCTCTAAGAGCTTCATATCTTTCCTATATTGTGGTGCCCAAAACTGCACACAATATTCAAGGTAAGGCCATCCCAGTGCAGAGCAGAGCAGGACAATCCCCTCCCTCTACCAGCTGGCAATGCTGTGCCTGATGCCCCTCCCCGGACACGGTTGGCCCTCCTGGCTGCCAGGGCACTGCTGACTTGTATTTAACTTGCCATCGACCAGGACCCCCAGGTCCCTCTCTGCAGCACTGCTCTCCAGCCTCTCACTCCCCAGTCTATACACACATCCAGGGTTGCCCTGTCCCATGTGGAGAATCCAGCATGTGCCCTTGTTAAACTTCATAAGATTGGTGATTGCCCCTCTCTCTAATTTGTCAAGGTTTCCCTGCAGGGCCTCTCTGCCCTCAAGGGAGTCATCAGCTCCTCCCAACTTAGTGCCATCATCTCTGTAGTGCAGGTCCAAATCAAGAGTCAAAGTGCAGGCTCTAGTTCACCTCTTCCAGAGCTACAGGAGTGTTCAAACCTGAACATAAACAGTCTGGAAAAAGAACAGTTCTTCTTCTCTGATGTATGTATTTAAACTGAACATCAGGATGTGAATAAGTAAATCTCTCCGAGCTCTTCAAGTACGTGTGGTTCTTCCTTCAGACCACAGGCAGTGCCATGTGGCTTCTCTCACTTGGCTCTGGGGAGCTGGGTCCACCTGTAACACAGATGGGCACTTAGCCATTGCAAGAATGCTTGACACGACTGTTTTGTTTTCTTAGCACTTTGCAGATGTTTATAACACTCCATTCAAACCTTGATGTTTAAGTATTTGACTCAGATGTGATTTATGCTTTGGCAAATTGGGTTTAAAAAACTGCTTCTATAATTTGATAGAACGCAATGGCAGGTTTTTAATGACTTCACCTGATAATGAGCGCTCTTGGAAACTATCTCATAAGACACTGCTGAAGAAGTATCTCAGTAGGAGTTTTCTGGTAAAATGCTTGTAATAAATCATTCAGTTTTGCCCACAAGCTACTGTATGCTGGGAAAAGGTTTGAAACCCTATTTCTAAAACATTTTTGAAGGCAACTGACAGTTGGAGTAATACATACAGTTAAAAAACCAGAGACACAGTTACACCTTCAGATGAGAAGCTCACACAAGTTGACATTTGGGCAACTGCCATTAATTTACTTCCCCTTATTACCCAGTGATTTTTGACAGTTTCTGTCTGCAGAGGCTTCATACCTTTTTTACAAATGCACATTCTCATATTCAATATTAGTAAAAGGGAATTTGGTAGAAAATGTTAGAATCCAACTTCACTGTTTACTAGAGGAAAAAAATATTTTTTTTTAAGAGTTGAACTGCGAAATCAATTCCAGCTTCTGCATAAGGAACCATTCAGAATGTGTAACACTATTTTCCTCTCAATTAGCACTCAGTAAAATTGCACATTTCAAGGAATTGAAATACACAATGTCTCTTATTAGCATCAAGCTATAGGTTCATATTAATGGACATTTGGCACTGAAAAGATTATTACTGTGACCTGGAGAATTTGCAGATTACAAGAGACAGAGGGAAAAAAAAAAGCAGCAGAAATGAAACATCTCATTAGAGGAGTAATCATAAATGTTATCTAACCCAACTGACCTTTTACCTATTTAGTTATCAACCAGTACATCAGTTCATTGCTCTCATGTGTCACAGACTCAACTCTTGCAGAAAATGAAAAGGGGGAAAAATCTCATAAGGACTCTGAACAATTTCAGGGAAAGCTCTCCGAATTATAAAATCATTGCCTGGGCTCATAAAAAAGCCCTGCAGGTGGAAGGGACTGAAATAAGCCTACTACTCAGAGATGGGAATGTCACAGGGACTTTGTTAGAGCCATCAGAAAGTATCACAGAACAAGCAGGGACATGAAAATCTTGGTTAAGGATCTACAAAAGAGAAGGATGAGGAGGAATCTATGGAAGTGATTAGCAGAAACTGCTTCCATTCAAGACGTCCAAGACACACATATGTAAAATACACCCACTTTTACATGCATCCTCAGGCACAAACTGTATTCAAGCTGAACAGCTCCACTGAAAAAGGTGCAATCTACCAGAGCTCCATTACAGCTATCCCTGACTGAGGATAAAATAAAAACAGGACAAGGATTTGGTGCCTGGGAGAACAGAAGCAGCTGGGAGATGACACAGACTAAGCAATTACTTTTACAGATGCATCACTTTCCAGCTGAAGGAAGCAGTTCTCAGTGCAAAGCACAGATAATTTCAGTGTCAGCACACAGCTCCCTGAGCACACGGGTTCCACAGCAGACTTGCCGTTGATCGCTCGTGGGCACACCACAATGGCCATCCTGTCTGTGTTTGTTGTGCTTATATCCCAAAAACTTCGATGCAAGCTGAGCAGGTGAACAATATAACAGTTCATCCAACCTCTTCCTTTTAGCTTTTAGTGAATTTTGAATTTCAAAAATACCTTAGTCCGCAGGGCTAGTTTAATTCGAGACACTCCTGCTA